TAGTTGTCAAATCCTCACTAATGGTGATCGGTGATACCGAGAGTATAATGCTTGCTTCATATCCAAATAGAATATTAATCAAAAGCAAAAGTGATATGAACCTACTTGGAGGTGACAACTAAATAGAAGAGGAATTGATGGATTAATTTTGTGAAGGAAAGACTCCAAAAACTTTAAAAGTATGTGAGGCAATGCTCATTAAATCTCTAATTTGCATGTATCTAGTTCAAGCAATGTAAGACATTTGAGAGATTAATGCATAGTAAGGAATGTATTTTCCTTCATTTGAAGGATTCATAGAAATTAGCAAGGGTAACACAACTCAACCAACCATACAACTAGAGTTAGAGTCATTGGCGAGTTAAAGCAGCATAGCAAATCAAATGTCAACTACTCAACAACAATGATGAAGAGCAATTGAGAGCCAAGAGACGTATTGCAATTAGAACAAAAGATTGAAGATTCAACAAATGTGAGGAGATACAACATTTGCAAAGGTTTCGACGAGGATGTCAAAAGAATAAGTTGGGAAGAATATCACAGACAAAGCTATAAACAAGGTGTTCGATATAATACTCATATATGTTATCTTTTGATTTTTGTTCATGCTTTACCTAGCATATAAAGGGCTTACAGTTGGTTTAACTGTCCTATTTTGGTTGGCTTTTGTGGTCGTTTCAGACTTATAAATGTAGGTTATGTGCAGTTATTGCACAGAGATAAAATTGCCTAGAAACAAACTATCCAGGCAACTATTTTGGGGGTTTTCTAGCTTCACAGAGTAGTGTAGAGTGTCAACCAGTACAACACCAATGAGCTACTTGGGTGGCATATGGTTGGATAGGCCTTTGAGGTAATGTTTAGGGCTAGTTCGTTGTCTTATTTTGCAATAGTATCATGCGGGCACTTATGGGGACTTTTGATCATGACAAACCACCTTGGAACCTTTATCGTGCAACCTTTCAGAACTTACAAAGTCCATATTTATAATTTGCATTGTCTATCAAGATTTTGCTGAAATGACTAATTGTGAATTTTGAGTTAAATGCTTTCTCTAACTTATTTTCTTTTTTTATAGGTTTTGAAAGGAACATAAAAGATATTAAGCTAATTTATTTTAGTAAAATCAGCTAAGTCCATAACAGATTATGTAAGACAATTTGCTATGTCTAAGATCATATCCATACGAACACAATATATTAGCTTAATTTAATCATGTGTTTACAGTATTGATAGGAATGATATTAGTGATCCTTAAATCAATCCGACTTGATTCAAGTCCATGTATAATATGATCGAAGGATAGACTCAAACATTGGCTTGTCGTATAATTGACTTATATGAAGATTAACTTATATGAAGATTAAGATTAGATATGATTCTAAATGCAATCGACATAGATAATGTAATTTTAGTAAATGGTAACTAGTAATTGATATTGCATCTTAGGTAGCTTTTATAACAAATTAATCGAAAGAATATTTAACAATATAAGTCGAATGTGTGTCTCGTAGTTATTTTTGAGATATGAGCACTAATATTTTAGACTGATATCGACATGGCCTAATCGTTGACTAGGTCTTACCTTCTCGTTACTAATTATTGTTGAATATTTCCCATATATTATTGATACATGCTATTGTTGTTATTGTTCCATAGTAAGACAAAGGCATTGGATTCACACGCTCATACTAAGACACACACTCGTAGGCAAAGAACGAACACAATCTAAGCCCTCATCTCCTATTGCTCGGCCATCTTCACGTCAGGATTTCGCATCGGTTTGAGCCACATATCCGCCATTATTCGCGACGACAAGCTCCACAGCGCGTCCTGCCCCCCCTTCCCCTGCCCTGCCTTCTTCTTCCCCGCCTTCCCCAGCCCGTACGCCACCAGCCACTGCATCGCCGTCAGCCTCTGCTTCTCCCCGTCCCAGACGCCCCGCCGCCCCCCCGGCCGCAGCTTCAGCCCGCCGACGTGCAAGCTTGCCACCTTAAACTTGGCCTCCTCCTCTTTCCCGCCTCCCTCCGCTCTCGCCGCTTGAATCATGGCGATCAGCGGGGCCCCTACTGTCTCGTATCGCCGCAGAGGATCCCTCAGCTGGATGACCACCAACAGCGTCACGGAGTTGGCCGCGGCGCAGGCGGCTTCCCAGTCCTCGGGCGGTATTGCCGAGTAGAGGGGATGCTTGTCTGCTGCCTTAGCGGCAAGAGGGGAGACGTCGAACAGAGCTTCTTCCTCGGCCATCCCCGCCTGGATCTTGAGAGCTTCCACCGCCATGGCTTCGATCTTCTGCAAGGCGAAGGCCAGAATCTCTTCCGCCGCAACCGGCTCCTCCGCCACGTTCCAAATGCCTGTCAAGATCCGCTCCTTCCTCCCTTCGCTCAGCGCCGTGGCCATGGTTTTGAGGAGCGCCACCGTTCTGGCCGCGCTGGAGCTCGCTCCCTCCTTGTTCCTCCCGCTGATGATCGCCGCCGCCATGCCTTCGAATGCTATCTGCTCCGCCGTCTTCCCCATGAGCTCGTCCATGGACGTCAAAGACTGTAGCTTGGCACCCAGTTCATCTGGTCCGATCGCTGCAAGCCTCTGAAACACCTCGAACCCGCTTGTGAGCCTCTGTTCCCCGAGGATGAATGGCCTGGAGATCTGCATTGCGAGCTTTGGCGTCTCTTTTCTTGCGACTTCCACGTTGAAAGGATTTGTTGCAGACAAGTAGCCTCCATCCCGCGTCTGCACGACGGAGCCCAAACCCTTTCCCAGATCCGAGATGTAGATGCCTTTGTCGCCATCTCTACCTTCTGCCACCCCTGTTTCAGCTGCACTAAGATGATCGCCTATGTCGAATATCGGTGGTGTCTTGTCTTCAAGCTCAAGCATCTGAAGGAACTCCCTCGTCACAGCGTCTTCCTCGGCATCCAACCGCGGCGTCTCATCTTCTTGCGCTGCCTTTGTGGGATTCAGCACGTCTCCGACCATCAACGATTCGAGAGCCTTGATCTGCTGCGCAATCGCGTCGAGCTCCGTCAACCGGCTGAGATGCGCGCTGTCGTGCACCACCTCCTTCACGACTTCGCTCGGAGCCAACGTCGCCTCTGCTGCCACCTCCACGGACTCCGCTTCTTCTTCTTCTTCTTCTTGGTGTTCTTGTTTCTCTGCATGCTGAATTTCGATCCCCTTATCGACGACTTCGAATTCGGGGAGGTCGAGATCGTCCTTCAGCTCCGGCTCGGGCTTCTGGACCGGCGGAGGGCTTGAAGAAGGAGGAGGAGCTGGGTCGTCAAGACTGAAGTCGTCGATCTCCTTCAGGTCGACGGAAGATGCTTCCTTCGTCGGCGTCAGAGATGGTTTCGATCTCGTGATTTTTGGGCTCGTGACGCTGAAAGAAGACTTGGATTTCTTGAAAACGGAGGAGAAGGAAGACTCCCTCGCCTTCGCGGTGGTGCTGCTGCTGGAACCGCCGCCTGCCTCTGCCTTCTTGTATAGGCCGACGCCTCCATCCTCCATGATCTGAAAGCTCAGCTTGAGGACCAGCTCGCCCCCTTTGGCCTTACCGGAGAGCGGGAACGACGAATCCCACTGTCGGACCCGTGCCCCTTCGAGGCTCTTCTCCATGGACTCCTTGACGAGCGGGCTCAGATCCACCGAGTTCTTGCCAAAGTCGAGCTCTGGGGCGTCGATGGCCACGATCGAGATCAGGAACGGCCGGGACTCGAACTTGAGCGGCTTCCCCGTGCCGGCGCCGCCGCTGCAGTAGACATGGCACCGGATGAAGAGCGTCTCCTCGAAGTCAGCGGACCCCTGTAGCACCCTCGCCGGCATGGTCTGCAGAGCGCCTTCCTTAGTCTCCTTCTTACGGACGACAACGGAGAGGCGAAGGCCGTTCATGGAGGCTGGGAGGCCCTGGATGGCGACGACTTCCACGGAGAAAAGGCACCCCAGGCGCTGCATCCCGATGTGGGACAGGGCGCGCATCGGCTTCCAGCTCCATATCCCCTTCTTGTCGGAGGTCTCGGTAGCGGTCGTGGTCGCGCCAGACAGGCTCTGTCGTTTGGATGGAGGGCCGCGGCGGCCGTCATCGGAATCATCAAGTTCCAGCTCGTTCTGGGTCTTCGGACGGGAGCGCCAGGGAGACATGGACATGCGGCGGGAGCGGGGGCGGCTTTCTGCCGCTGTGCCATCGCCGCCGGCGCCGGTACCAGGGGCAGGAGCGGAGGAGCGGGGCAGGACAAGGGAGGCGGTGCGGCGGGCGGTGTGCGATTGGTAGAGGGAGTGGCTAAGCGCGTCGAGCTCCTGGAGGAGCTGCGCGTTGGGGTCTTTGCCCTGGGAGCCATCCGCCATGGTAGCAGCAGCGAGGAAAGAAGCAAAGAAGCCTGCGACTGCACTGATGATTGGAGACCGGGCAGAAGTCGATGACGGAGAAGAGATTTATGGCTCAAAAACGCCATCATCGATCTGAGGCTAAGGTTTTTGGACGGATTCATGTCAATGAATGGAGGAGAAGAGAGAAGGGTTTGGGGGAGATTTGGCCTCACCGTTCTCCTCAAGTCTTTGGATTGGGACGGGAGGAGATGAGGCACGGGAGAGGATAATGGGTTTTACACACATGTCATGGTTCTTTTGTTTGTTTGGCGCGAAGGGGAGTTGGGGGGCGGGAGTGACTGTTAGTTAATAACCTCCATTTGAAGAGTCAAGCCGACGACTTCAGGAGGACGCATGCGGTGATGAATCGAATGGTGCACCATCCTCCACGTGGCCGTTAAACCGAGACCCAACAGGGGTTCGAAACTTGTGGACTACGTGTTTTCCCTTTTTTATCAACCTCACATCACATCTTCTTGCGATCCTCATTTGTTTCCGTCGACGTGAACGCACGGATACACACACCTTATAAACCATCATTTGTTTTCGTAACGCCACGTCGTACACCATCTGATGAATCTTTCCTTATCTTTATCATGAACACGTGGATTCACAAGCAATTATTCTCTCACGACGGACTATAAGAAGTAACTCACAAGGCATCGATTCCTCTATTCCTTAATCACTCTAAAAGTAAGCGGCGGACAGAAAGCTCACAAAGTTGAAAGTTCCAATTACCGAATCCAAAAGCTCACAGTTTTCACATCCCAATTAGATGTTCGGTCAGATCGAGCCGAAAGAGACCCTTAGAACAAGCGGCATCGGCATGAGACGAGCTTAGCCTCCGAAGCCGTACAGGGTGCGGCCCTGGCGCTTGAGGGCGTAGACGACGTCCATGGCAGTGACGGTCTTGCGGCGGGCGTGCTCGGTGTAGGTGACGGCGTCCCGTATGACGTTCTCGAGGAAAATTTTGAGGACACCGCGGGTCTCCTCGTAGATGAGGCCGGAGATACGCTTCACGCCGCCACGGCGGGCGAGACGGCGGATCGCCGGCTTAGTGATGCCCTGGATGTTGTCGCGTAGGACCTTGCGGTGGCGCTTCGCGCCGCCCTTGCCAAGCCCCTTGCCTCCCTTGCCGCGGCCAGACATCGCAACGATCGACCCAGCGAAGAGGTAAGAGAAGAATCAAAAGCGCAAAAATGGAGGAAGGGAAGAATTTGAGACGATAGAGGCAGGAAGGGAGGGGCCGATATTTATACAGGGGGAATTAGGGATTTGGCCGGGGGAGGGAAACGGCGGGATTTGGGTATTAGAATTTGGGGATGGCGAGCGAGTCGGGGTTTGGAAGGATGGGAAGTAGCAAATGGCCATTGAATTGAAAGTAAACGGCTCAGATGCGTTGGGCTGCTTCGGCTCGGATCGCTGACGTGTTAGGTCTTTTTGCGCACGTGAGTACGGCGTGATCCAACGGATCACGTTTTGGTTGGAGTGACTTGAAAGAAAACCACGATTTTGGCACTGCTCAGAGTTATGTCTAATTTTACTGCACCAAAAGGGTTTTACATTTTGGAAATAGTATATTTCTAATTAAAAAATGTTTATTTCTAGTAGCACATGAATTCCTCTATATTTTATGATCATGTACACCTTCCAGGGTTAATTACTTCTAATCATGATAGGTAATTCAACTTATTTGAATTAAAAAATCTGATAATATAAAATAATTTGCTCATTTTATTAAGTGAAATGGAAGGGTGCATAATCATCCATCGGCTGAAAATATTTAAAGATTATACGGAAAGACAAAAGAACTCAATTCAAATTGGCAACATTGGAAACGGAGATCAAGGTTTTGGACATGCATAACGAACATTTTCGTTAATCCGATAAAAAGATTATTGAAATTCATGTAATCGTAAGAAGCTGACTCTTTTTTATGTGAAATAATACAGAAAAAAATGATGGCCACGAAGTATAGAACTTGTTCTTTGTTCTTTAAATTAATAGCAATCTTTGTGGTAAGGATTGTATCTACGCCATTCTCCATGGAAGGGGCAAAAATTAAATGGTCTGTTTTGAGTGGGGAATTGTTAATGGTTGGCAAACAAATCTCTAATTTAAACTACCATAATTCTGGCAATGAATAATATTTGAAATAGGGTTCGGCGATTCTTGTGGTTATAATAATTCAAATCGTATTGTCATTATGAAATTTCTGGAAACAACAGGACATGTTTCATCATACCAAATGCAGAAAGAATGCACAAATTGTTCTAATGTTAAGGAGCATGTTTTATGTCATCCTTTGTTGACAACTCAAGCAAAACATAAAAAGTCTAGGAATAAATCCAGTGGACCAGCAGCTATTAGAATGACAAGATTCATCCCAGTACAACTTCAGTCTATGACATTATAATCATGAAACACCTACCAAGAATTGATGTATAAAATCCAAATCAAAACCACAAAAATTGTAACACATGACATTATTGTTCACAGCCCCAGGCAAAGAAGAAACAAAAATACTCTATTCGACGTCAACTTACAAATGCTCCACTTGAACAGTCAAATCCTGTATGCCCAGGTCATGATATAATCCATGCACGTAGCGCAGGATTGGAAGGTCCTCTGCTCCTCTCTTAACCTAGAGAAAATATCAAAACAATTATTGGATTGTCCAATTATAAAAAGATACCACATTGTTAAATGTGATGACAGTCATATGGCATTATATAGGCCAAAAGCCCTTTCAATCTGGATAAAAGCTATGCATGCAGGGTCCCAACTCCATTAACTGCATCGCCTGGTACCCACTAACTCCATTAACTACATCACCTTGCATGGCCATCTCCTCGAGGCTTCTTACATGTCTATCTTATAACTAAATTTACAGCATGTGTGGTCCAATGAAAAGCTGTGCCAAAATAAGGCACCCAAACATGAGCACAACTAAATGCATTTTATCAAGGCCTTCACTAGCATGACATGGTAAAACAACTTGGCAAGGGAAGCATCTTTGCCCATGCATGATAATTTGACCATATTTTCACCATCGCTGGAATTTAAACAAATGAAAAAAGAATTTATGACTGGCAATCTAGAGAATGTTGAGATAAGTATTCTGTCATCAGGGGTGATAGTCCTCTTCAGTAGCATTTTATAACATATACCTGAACTGAGAGAGATCCAATGCAATGACCTGGTACCAGTTCCCAGAATCGAGCTTCCGAGACTTCAGAAACATCCTCAAGAGAAGTTATCTACCAAAGGTTGGATTAAGCAAATCTAAGGAATAAACTGTGAAAAGCCTAAGAAAGAGATATACTGGAGGACATGAGCATACCTGTCTCCAGCATTTGCTAAAGGCAGAAGAAGGTATACTTGCAGGAGCCATCTGGAGCAATATATTGCCTGAAGCTCTAAAGAGTGGCATAACAACCATGAATATTGCAACTGAAACAAGCCCCAAGCATAAAACCTCTGCATTCTCAACCCTGCAAATGAAAATGAGGATAGAGTGGATTTAACCATCTTTTATAATGAGAAATATGGAAGGAAGAAAGACAACTTTGCTTAATGCACAATTCTTACCCTAAACTAAGAAACCAGGATGCCAGGATCAGACCTGCACTGGTAAGGAAGTATAAGAAAATGAATTAGAACCTCGTTTAAAGAACAGAAACTATTGATTTTAGTTAGATCTAAACCTCCGAATAGAATCTGCAAGAACATGTAAGCAGACCGAGTGATAGTTCATATCTTCAGCTTTCCTGTAAACTGCACAAAGGTGGTTAAATCTCAAACAATTACTACTCTACAATAAAAGTAATGCAACAGTAAGACATAATAGCAAACATAGCATAGGAATATACCAATATTAACACGAGCATAGCTCCGAAAGAACCAAACTCCTAGTATGTTCACCAAAAGATTGGTCACAGCTGAAACAATTAGGTAGTGCCTAATCATAGAGTAAAAAAATAAGTCAGAAACAATATTAGAACTTAAATAGAACCTACTAATAAAGAAAAAAAGTAAGTCAGAAAACATTAGAGACCAACGGAACCTACACTAAGGCTCTCAAAGCACTGTACATTTGATTCAAAGAACCATGCACTGACGTGCTTTCTTACAATGCTATGTTTTCACAATGTTGCACAGGCATTGCCTGCTTTTCATCTCTTAATTAGCCAAGGCCTCGCGACAATTCCAAGCAAGGATTTGCAAGGAAACAGAGGCATAAGTATTAGAAAAGGGATGGCATCAATAGAGGCACCAAAGCAATTCCTCTACACCCTCTACAAAAGAGAGGGGCTTAAATGATGGTTTCAAGGCATTGTAACAGTTAACAGGATACCTATGCTAACTACACCAAAGTTCAGTTTGGACTTTTGTCTGATTATATGCTAGTTATGGAACGATATCGAGAGAATGCTTAATAAACCTACTCTGTCACAACCTAGAAATGTAGGCATCTAATTCAAGCAATCTCTCCAAACATTGATTAAGACAGCGCACACATCAGTCCACCTAGACACTGCAATTGTGAGAACCTCATGCATTGCATTATCAACTAATTTGACCACACTGATTGGTGTACAAGAAACCTACTCAAATGGCAAAGGAAATGACTGGAACGTGTTGGGCTGTAACATCTGCAAGGTCCCAGTTGTACAAGAGTCCAGTAATAAAACAAACCATAGCTATCAGAACTAAACTGGAGCAGCTGGTCAGAATGAGAACTATAACTTTGTCTAGTTTGCTTTTGTTATAGGATCAAGCATGCAATTAAACTCACAAGTAGCCTTTACAAAACTGGTCTGGCCTATCTTACCAGTTTATTGCCCCTAATTTAATTGCCTCATCTACATTCAACACTGCCCATGGGTCTACAACATAGATGCAGAGGAGGAAAAAAAGAAAAGAAAAGATATATAAAAAAAGAAAGCAAAAAGGGAAAAAGGAAAAAGATCCCCTTTGTCATACATATACTTAAATATATTATCATTTTTAAACTTAAATTGACTCCAGGCTTGGCCAGTTGATAACCAGTCTGATTCTGAACTGACAACCATGGAACAAACGGCACAACAGAGCAGATACTACAAACTGCAAAGGTTGTAACCAAGTTTGCAACATTACACATAATAGAATCATCACTACCAATTACATAAACGAAAATGCTGATGGAAGCATCTTAAATAAAATAATGACTTACTTGTGCTCAGATTCATCTTGAATAAATGCATGTAGTGCTTCAACTGCTATGGAGAATGACATAAACAATAGAAACAGCTGTCTACACAGGCAACAAAAGCAGCAGTCTGATATGTTAGTCCCAGATCATAAGAAAAAAAGGATATATGTAATTAGTACTAAGTACTAACAAGACAATGGAACAATTTAAAAAGGACTTCTATCAAACATAATATTACAATTTGCCCAACTATAACAACATTATGTTCACAAAAGTCTGAAAGATTGGCTAATGAGGTATAGATCTGAAGCAGTTGGATGCTTCTTAAAAGAACACAATTATTTTGTAGTCAAACTTGTGTTTCATTAAAAGCACAACACTGTTTAATAATAAACAATAACAAGAAGAACAAAGTAGATTGTTTGTCATATAACTTCTTTTCCCACTGTACCCAAACAAATATACAAAAAAACCAAATCAAAACCATTCAATTTGTACACTAAAATTTATTTTAGAGCATATAGCAGAACCGTAACCATGCACCATTTAGTAATACCCACCTTATATCATCATGTCATAAGAGTTACAAGCACTAGGCTATCTAAATACAGGCAATATACTTCTAAAAGTATCGCTAAGGCCAACCCATTTGTAATCAACAAGAGGCTAGAGCCTATCTGATCAACTTGGAAGGAAGAATAACAACTTTAACTTGATAAAAAGGCAGAGAAACAAATCATTATTGTCTATAATCTATCACATCCAGAAAGAGTAAAGAAAAAACTTACAGCATTTGTAAAAGCTGATAGTACTTCCAATCTTTTGTACCTAAAAAAAGAAAAACCCCAAAAGTCAAAATCTTTGTCTTTAAACTTGAATTAATATGTTCCTTCTAAGAATTAAAACTTTCTTCAGAGGAACGACATAAAATGATGCATTAATGACACTCCATTATAAAGGGAAATATAGAGAAATTTTGTTCACAATGACTACAACTATTCCACGTTACAAGAAATGCTGTAGAAGCTGTAGAGATAGAAACTAACCCATAGGTATATACACCATCAGGCTTCTTCCTAGAAGCAGCCATTGCAAACAATGAAAACGTTAAAAGGCCACAACCAAAGGTAAGATGAAATGCATCCGATACCAAACCTGCAAGAGCAAGTGTCAGGGAATTTAGCAGAATAACACAATCTAATGTGCAGTATGACCACTTTTATATTATTGACCATGCGACAAACATTTGGTAATCATCAGTAAACTCTATTCACAAAGTGGTTAGAATACTGGAAAGATTATCAACAGGATTCACAAAATCGTACAGAATGGCAGATTTGGAGAAAAAATAAAGTACTCGAAGAACATATGTAAATATAATGCCCATAGATATTGTTATTTGGTTTGTAAATGTAATGCTCATAAAGACTAGCATTTCTAATGTTGAAAAGCATTGCAACTAAAGTACTCATAGCATAGCAAGTATCCATATCCACGGAAGTAGATCATAATCAAGTAACATAGAACTATGAAGTATTCAATCCGAGCAAGAGAGGGAATAAGGGAGCGCATAACGACATGGTCTGACCTACGCGCCCGGTGAAAATGCCAATCAACAACTCCGCTGTAGAATAAGCCACGTTGAGCGAGATCATCAAAGCCAACCGCTTCATCGGCCGATTACCCGAACTTATGGCTTGAACCACCGATACCATCCAGTGAAGCAGCGAGAGGTTCCGACTATCTCGGCCGCCGTTCATGGCGGATTTGCCATACCCCATCCCGTACTCATCGCTCCCAGACGAGGGGATACTGATGAAGGAATCGCTCCGGGAGAGATTCGCCCTGAGGGACTGAGTCCTCTGAGGCGGAAACGGCGAGTGGGGCTCAGGTTGTCGGAAAGACGGTTGGCGCGAGAAGGCCAGCCTGCGATCACCACCCACGAAGCCGTAGTCGCCGGCCCACGGCGGCTGGTCGGGGATCCGGTGCCCGAAGGAGGAGCTCCGGCGGGGAGGCAACCTGGGGGCCGTCTCCCCCGTGCTAGGATCGCGAGGAGCCGCCTGCTGCTCTTCCATCTGGATCTGGATACCTAACTAATTCCGTAGAGCAGAAACCCTAGATTCCAGTCCAGCGGAAGGTGAGTGCAACGATTGACTATGGATCAGCATAAAGAGGAGCGGAGAAAGAATGGAAGATCTCTCGAGCGTTGTTTCGAGACACCCTCCAACGGACGATTATTATTAGATCGTGGCGGTCCCTGAGTTTGCGGAGGGCGGAGGCGGCCCGCCGTACAAGACTTGTCCACTTGCTTTAAATGTCGCAATTTTAGGTCAACCGCAATAAGAAAAATAACCATAAAATAACTCACTGATTGAGAATATAAAATTTCAGATTTTTAGCTAATAAATAATTATCGATATATGACGTGTCTAATCGTCCATGTCTCAAAGGACTGATATAAGCTTCAATGAAGATAATATAATTTGTGCTTAGTTTAATTGGTAGGATATTATAAGGGTGAATTCTCAAGAAAAAATTATCTTTTAAAAATTATCCATCTCAATTTTGAAAAAAATTTATAAATTATTTTTTAAAAAATAATCATTTTACCCTTAATCCTTGTTACTCGTCTTCTCCTATATTGCTTGTTTATTGCTCTCGTCCATACTTTTCCGTAGCTATAGATATCTGTGCCCCTAGCCCTCGTCAAACCCTTTCTTATGTGTAAGAAGAAAGAGATACTTTACAAAAAATTGGGGAGAAAAGAGGTACATTAATCATAGATTTGACGAAGATATAAATAAATTAATCATTCTAGGTACTTTACAAAAAATTTGAATGATAAATTTTTTTTCTGAAAATTCACCCATAAGATGCGAATTATAGTCCGAGATCGAATGAGATGCCTCATTAATCTATCAATCAAACGTTTGGCGCTGTTTCTCCCCACTGTCATTTTCGTTGATCTAATAAAATAATATAAGAAGAAATATGTGATTTCAATGGAAAAAATATAAAAAAGAAATATAATAGATCTCTAGATATAAAATCCAATGTAACATCACAGGGTAACACAACATAAACATGAGTTACCAGAAAGATGAACACTTCAGCTGTAGAACTAATCTTTTCCAAATCTGAAAGCACAAAATACATTGCACAGTTTCATATCATCACATGAAGCCACGGAACAACGATCTGGTCTGGATTGGCTAGCGGTAAATTCCCCAACCAAAATATCAGCATCGTTTTTCCATGGAAATCACAATGACCAATGTCTCATAAGTCCACAAATGCCTTCACCATCCTATGACCGCAAATGGTAATCTACATTGAAACCGCGTGGATCAGATGGGCTTGCACCTGGTCTGCAACACAAGATATTCAAGGAAATCGGTGATTAAAATGAAAGAATGATCCTAAAGTTCTAGGAAGCACCAATGCAAGAAATGATCTGAAGAACTAAGGTTGAATTTGAAATAGATTTAGAACTGTTATGTACAACTAAAGCAAAAGACAATATGTTCCCAGTCACTATTATTTTCCATACTGTTTCTTAGATGAAGGGAGCCATAGAAAATTAGGATAAACAAGAAGAAGTAATACCCATTACTTACCTCTTATTTATGGTGCAATAGTGAAAGTTGAGGTTTCCAGAATTAATATCTTCAATGTACTGCAACCAGAGAACAAGAGTCAAGAATGACCAATGAAAGCACTGATCATAAACTATTTGATCCCAACCTAGGTTAACACTAATACTATCAGTGTACCCAACACTAAATCCTACCATAAGCTTAGAAAAATTGGCTAAAACAAGATGGCAAGTCAAGAAAGAGGAACTGCAAAACTTACCATTCTCAAGGTAACAATGATTGATGAAAATGCTAGGGAATCAAATGGTATGTCATCCAAAGCAAAAAGAGCACATTCGAGTGACTCAGGGCCTGGTGAAAAATGAGGTGTCTTCAATCTTGCTCGGAATATGATGTAACTCTGTACTGGATATGAGATTAGAAATAGTTCTTCATTACCAAGACCACTGAATATTTTGTCCAAATAATTATCAACAGAAGTAAGTTATCTCACTTGGCCAATGAGAGGAATATCTAACTGTGCAAATGGTGAAATAATTTCAACTTCAGCACATGCTTCTTCCAGAGTTTCTCTAGCTGCCCCGTCTGCAGCAGACTCCCCAATCTCCAAGAAACCAGCTGGAAGTGTCCTGCAGGTTTAATGGTTCAACATTTAGACCACTTTCCATCAAAATCAAATCTCATACACAGTACAGGCCAAATGGGAAGCTTGGGGAGACGAAAAGCAAACATGGGCTTCCAAATTCAAGATTAAATCCAACTAACTTGAACAACTATATTTACAAAGAAATAAATTATGAAATAGTGAAAGTTTAAATTTATAATTTTTTTGACATTTTCTATAATTATTTTTATGTTTTTTTTAGGTTTAATTTGAGTGACAGAGCTTTGGCAAAACTTAAGTAATGAAGATGTGAGGAAAATCAAACAATGATAGAATCAAACCATGAAGAGTGGAAAATTGAAGCAGAAAAAATAATGATAGAATCTACACCACCTGCCACAACAGACCAAAAGGTCCTCTAACTTCTACATTTGCTAACAGTTCTAAAAACAAACCATACAGAACCACGAACTGTTGAGTCTACTATGATCGTGTTTAATGGACAAACTATTGAGGCACCAAAAGATGCAAATGTTGTCTACCAGCTGTTGATTTTACAACAATTAATGAATTTACGATTAAGGATTAAGATCTTTCCTCAGTTGCAAAACCACTAATCCCTTCATCAAAGCCTACAATTGACCTCTTATGTTCAATTGATGTTGAAGTTGATGCATCGAAGTTGTTGCATATTGCAACTACTGTTGATTCTACATCAAAGATTGCTGAGATTGTCTGATCGATATGTTTTTTCTTTTGCCTAAAACAGATTGCAAGAATACCAAGAATTGATTTCCATGATCAGATCTAATACCTGCAAGATCCTCTTACCAACAACAGATCATCATGAGGATATCATGTTGTGCAACAGAAGAGAGTGGTAAATACTGATTTGAGCCCAAAATTCAAAACTGAGTTTAATTAGGTTTAGGTCGAGCCTACAAAATTCAAAACTTTTGAGATGGTGTTAGTAGTGCAGGTAACCAGTTGGTCAATATCCAGAACAAACAGATTAAAATGGGAACAAATCTAACTTTCGAGATGGTGTTTGTAGTACAGGTAACCAGTTGGTTGGTATCCAGAACAAACAGATTAAAATGGGAACAAATCTAACAACTTAATGAAATCCCGTTGAATGTGGATAAGGTACTGTGTTATGATATTTTCATAAAAAAATTAAGATTCATAGCTATGCCATTTTTAACTTCTTCTGGGAACAAATCTAAAAACTTAATGAAATCCCGTTGAATGTGGATAAGGTACCGTGTTATGATATTTTCATAAAAATTTTAAGATTCATAGCTATGCCATTTTTAACTTCTTCCGTTATCCTTTGAAATTCCTTTCCACATCTTATCTTCCCTACCACAGCCGCTAGTTCTTCCCTCTTTTTGTTCTACCTATTCCACCCATGCTTGCATCAAATTGGTATGAGAAGTACTGTGCATGTTTCAGTTTCTTACATCAAAGAAATTAGCAATAACAAGCAAAAGAGTAGATGATAAGTATTTAATCAAATGAAAGGAAAGGATAAGATAAGCACCAAAGACCATAAGATGGCTCAATTTTCCGTTTACAAAGCAGAACCTTGTCATTATGCTCCACCAGGCAACCAACTACCTGGAAAACTCAATCACCAGAGTGAACAAATAAGTCAAGATCAATATCATAATGCAACATCTATTATCAAAATGAATAGAAAACTGAGACAAATTTCTAAAACAAAGAGAAATAAACAACTGAAGTTTAATATATAGAAACTGCAACAGACATATCAGATAGAGTAGCTTCATGTCCAGTGGCTAAAATCCAAAAAATATAGAAATATATATATATAATTTAAGAGTCACGCTCAGTATGAAGCCCAGTATGGCCTCCCATGTCCAGTGGTTCTTGCCAGAGGAGGGACACTGCCAATAATACATACCCTGTTCGGTAATAGATCGACATGCGAAGGAAGCAGCAGAGGAAGGAGAAGAGGAACAAAGAGTAAATGAGGTGGAAGATGAAGGAAGAAGAAGAGAAGGAAGGAGAACTAATCTATCCTGCCATCATGACACACCAAGAAGAACTAATCTATCCTGCCGTCATGACACACCATTCTTGCTGCCATGCCACTGCCTCAATGCTGCTATGTGGTTGCCACCGTGTTGCCTGCTGGTCTATAGATAGATAGATAGATAGGTCAGGTTAGCAGGTCATTCTATCCTCACCTATATAATAAAGTTCTGCAAGCATATCCCTGGAGAACACAACATTATCCCAGTTTTCCTTTATCGATGTTAGATAAGTGTTTCATAAGTTATTAAATATTTTTTAAACATCAGACACTTGTACAAAGAAAGGCATTGAGATATAGGCTGTTATCATCACAATGATTTTGGCTTTAATGTTGAGAACAAACATTATTAATTATTAAAAATTACATCATACTGAGATAATAATAAAATAATCAAAGATACCATCTTAGCTGTCATGTCGTTGCCGTATGCATTTCCTACCCTTTCAAAGTTTGCCTTGTTGGTGTGTCTATATCATGTGGTCTCCCTTTCCTGTGTCCATATCCACGCCTCTTAGAGACCAACTCTAGTCATCACAGTGAGCTTAAGCAAATTGCAACGAATGGGCAATCCATAATGAAGAAAGGCTAGAACATTCCTAGAAAATGGATGAGGAAGAAGAATACTCCAGCAACACAAACAGCCTGTCCCAAGCTACTGTAACCAAGAGGTTGGAATCTCCTTGAAATTCCCCATGTAATTCTGCCAAAGGTGCCAAAAGCCCATGGCAATCAAACAAAGATTGACATGGTTCTCAGGGGAAGAGGAGCCATATTCACCTAATCAAGCTCCATTCATCCAATGGTCTGGAGCAATTCAAAGAAAAATACACCAGAACAAAATTGCAAATAGGAAAAGATGGGCCAGATCCTCTTGACCAGACACATAAGTTGCAGTTTAGAAATTTCAAACACATTATTAAAGGTAGGAGAGGATAGATGCACAGCCTTATGGAGAGAATTTAACAAAAGAACTGAATCCAATATGTTCATAAGTAAGCCCTCTCTTCTTT